AAGAAGAAGAAGAAGAAGAAGAAGAAGAAGAAGAAGAAGAAGAAGAAGAAGAAACGCATTCGAACCTGTTTTAATGACAACCTATCCAAGACAAAAACCTGTACAATGGACTACTTTCAACCCTATCCTTGCACTTAAACCAAAATACCATAATGATATTGTCCAAGAGGGCCAATTTTTTTAATTGACCATTTTTCTTCTTGACAAGTTGTGGTCAACTTGGACAGGCTCGTTTGTATATAATCAGAACGCTTAGAAATGGAGGTATGTTATTAGCTTTTTTGCTGCATGCCCTCCCTATGAACTTCTCAACGAGTCGCTTTGAGTTATTATTTACCCACAATCAGGACGTATCCTTTTATAAGTCTGATCAGTTTGACGTAGCATAAGTTAGAGAGCTCAGTTTCGTCGAAATAGTTTAAGACTCTCATGCATTGTTAAGGAATAATGTTGCTGTCTTAGACAGGGGGACGTCTTACACAGTGTCGCTATTAAAATATTTTTTTAAATTTTAAATCTCAAAGAGGGAAATAAGAAATAACCTTTTTTCTAACGATGAATGTCTTTTATACTTGTGGCCGTTAAATCAGGTTCGATTGCACATTAAAAGAAGGATAGCATGAGAGAATAACATGCTAGTAAGGATGAGAAAATTCACACATCCCCAATAGAATTCACAACTTTAGCTTCTGTCTTTTCGTAACTTCCACAGCAAGGCACGCACATGCAGGGCAGGTCTTGTGGGAAATTTATTTAGTCCCTGTGTAGGTGGCGTACCACTGCGCTGTAGATTGACTGGAAACACCCAAAGTAATTACGTAACCCGGCTTGACACCAAGGAAGGATAATTCCTTCGGTGTCTCATAAAATCTTTCTCTGTTATGAAATATTGATGCCTTAAGTCCCCAATCGAGAAAACCCGGGCAATGCCCCCTGTGAACTCAATGACTACTAGTTCGACACTAGAAATTTCCATGACGTAATCAATGTATTGTGTGGAAAGTTTCGGACTATTGTTTGAACCTGCGTCATTTTTAGCTCTGGGAAGTTATGTTACAGGCGTGATCTCAGAACTAAGTTGGGTTTTTTATTTGTTTGTTTGTTTGTTTTCCAAAAGGAAAATCCAAGTCGGAGGTAGAGGTTTGGAAACGCAATGTAGGTAGTCCTTCGTTGCCGAAGATGACGATGAATCCTGCAGCTCATCTGTGGACACGCATGTGGCGGTGCAATCCGATCCTGGATGAACAATGTCTGGTGCAGTGGGGACACTTCTAAGGAGATGAGCTGTAAGATAAACCTGTACGTGACTTTGTTTAAAGTGAAGCTGTCGTTGCACGGTGGCAGTGCCACTCTTTCGCCCAAGGAAGCCTTTACCCAGTGGCTCGGAGACCGTTACGACTGGAGACTGCCAGGCTGCAGTGGATAGCCAGAACTTTTTTTGTGCCTTGTCCATGCCCTTACGAACTCCACAGCACTTGCTGATACCGCCTTCAAAACCGTTGGATCTTCCGTTGATCTCATCCGCTTCATTCGCCGGGAAACCAGTCTTCACATGCTAGGGTAGGCAAATCCTTAAGAAAAATCACCGAGAGTCTAGGACCCGTCGGCTACCCTCACAAGGTCTAGCCTGCCAGTCGAAACAGTTGCCTGTATTATGACCGCTGTCGCATGCTAACAGCTACGGGGAGCCACACGTGAGAGTTGCGTGCCCGGTGGGAACCAAAGCGTGAGAGCCACCCGGGGGAGTGACTGCTCCTCCGTCAGAGGTACTATCCCTCCTAGCTAGTACACGCCATGTACCACAATTCCTACCGACTGAAATGTTTGGTGTGTCTCGCGCGCTCAGCTCACATGACCTTATGCAGTTGTGAGCACCCTAAAACACGTACCAACCCAAAAAAGGTGGAAAAATGCTTTTATAACCTTTGATTGTACCTCGTACGTAGGAATTTTCAAGGCTGATTAACTTCTTCAGTCCGTAACAAATTGCATCAGTTAAATGACCTAAGAGTTCACAATAATTATCATTACTCCGCACGATATCCTTGGGGCCTGTGCTACTTATCAATACTTAATCATTGTGAAACTTTTATGCAGAAAGTATTATTGCTGTCTGTCTCACACGCTATTGGTATAATCATAAGGTCATTTTGGGAGTTTGTAGTACTGTGAATATATTAAGCTATCCGCAACCGCTGTATAACGTCTAGATTCTCAACCGTTGCACAAAAAGGTGAATTCGATTCTTCTGAGACAGAATCTATTCTAGCGAGTATCTTCGTCTTCCATTACTCTTTGTGTCCGAGAAGATATAAATCCAAGAAGATCTAAATCAAGGCTTGTCAACATTTTTGTATAGCCAGCGCCAAATTTCCTCACCTTTGTGAGAGTAACATTTTCGCAAAGGCTACACATTTATATAAATTCAAACGGGGCTTTAAATAACCCCTTTCACCACATGAGCAATGCCCATTGCAATGAAATTTACCACTAACGGTCGATATCGCTAAGGTTGGCAAGTACTACATTTAACAAACAACAAGCTACCAATACCTATTATACTGTACAACGTTTTCGTTCTCCACCGTCGTTCACAAAAAGACGTAAATAGGTTTCTCCTGAGACAAATTCTATTGTAGTGAGTATTTTCATTTGGTCTTTCTCCCCCGCCCCCTCCTTGACTGGGAGATCTAAATTGCCGTGATGGGCGATAAACATTTTATAACCAATATATTTACGAAGACCAGTACGCCGATAAAGCAAAATATAATCCCAAAACCCTAAACTATCTGGAGTCAAATCATGTTGACTTATGTCTCAACAGATAACCATAAAAAGGGAACAGGATAAACAAAGAGCCTAACATTTAAATCTTCCTACCTCAGGAGCAAACATACTAAAACCTTCATGGAACGAAGGGGAAAGTAATTTACTTAAAACAGTTTTTATCAACCTTTTTTTTTTTGCAGCCAGCGCCCACTTTTGCTACTTTTAAGTTAGCTTAAGAGGTTAAACTTTTCGCACTGCCCACCTACATGTATTTCCCAGCAGGTAATTAAGTAGAAAATACTTCACACTACCAGGATAATCCCCAACCTCTACGAAACATTTCCTAATTGGCCACTCGTGGACGATATCGCCCAGGTTGGCAAACGCTCATTTACAATGCATTATTTAATTTTCCTACATTATTTTACCATTTGGTGATAATGTCGCCATTCCCAAAATGGGCATGAGAGACAAACTGACTGACCAGAAACAATTTCGAGAATTCCTCTTTTAAAAGACAGAATTCTCCATTAAAAATTCCTACGTCATCGGCAAAATCCGTGCGGGATGATGTTTTCCTTTCTTCTTTTTTTTTTTGCAAAGGAGAATAAAGGAAATGGGGAAAGTAACAAGCAGAGGGAGGAGGTGGTTGATGGCATGGGGGTGGGGGGGGAATGGTAGAAGGTGGGTAGGAAGTGGGGCTCACCTCTGTGGTTGTCTACTGTGATTCCAACACGTCCGTAGGATTAGCTGGCATAAGGGAGAAGCGTACGTGCACTTCTGCCTAGAGAGTCAGCAAGATTTGCGGGCTCACGGGAACTGGAGTGGGTTTAGTATAAAAAGGGCACCTGGGGTGGGGGGAGGGGACCTGATATATTGGTAGAAAAGGAATGCAAAAGAGTGAGAGAGAGGGATCGTACGGGTTGGGGGAAGGAGAAAAGGGACAATCAATGAGTGATGAGCTGTTTGGTGAACGTGTATCGTGAGTTGGGGTAGAACGTTTGCAGTGGTGTACTTTAGTGTGGATACGTGAGTGTATGTTTGAGTGTTAGTGTTTGTTTGTGTATGTGATATATACATATA